AACTAACAGGTGTCTGAGGAGGGAGCTGATAAAAGGAAGGACTTCTTCACACGGCGCAGAGTTAGCCTGTGGAACTGCCTCCCTCATGAGACAGGGATATGGCCACCAACTTGGATGGCTTTAAAAGAGGATGAGAAAAATTGATTGCTATCAGTGGCTACTAGCCAAAATGGGTGTGTTGTTGCACTCCTGCCCCGCTTGGGGATTTCCTCAAAGGCACCTGGTTTTCACTGAGCTTAAGGCCAGAAGCTGGGTTAAGCCAGGAGTGAGGGATTTCTGTGGCTTTCCCAGGTAGCATTGGACTACAACTCCCATAATCCCCGGCAGCCAGCTGTGGTAGAGGAGTACGGCTTCCCTCATCCCTCCAGCGTATTTATTTATCACCAGTTTACCCTCTAAGATGTTCAGGGTGGTTTGGCCTCGCTCCTTCCCCACTTTATCCCTCGCAACAACAGCCCTGTGAGGTGGGTTCGGCTGAAAGAGAATGTTATTGGCTAGCTAGCCAATGAACTTAATTGTAAAATTAGTTGTTGTTTAGTCGTTTAGTTGTGTCCGACTCTTTGTGACCCCCTGGACCAGAGCACGCCAGGCACTCCTGTCTTCCACTGCCTCCCGCAGTTTGGTCAAACTCAGGCTGGTAGCTTTGAGAACACTGTCCCACCATCTCGTCCTCTGTCGTCCCCTTCTCCTTGTGCCCTCCATCTTTCCCAACATCAGGGTCTTTTCCAGGGAGTCTTCTCTTCTCATGAGGTGGCCAAAGTCTTGGAGCCTCAGCTTCAGGATCTGTCCTTCCAGGGAGCACTCAGGGCTGATTTCCTTCAGAATGGAGAGGTTTGATCTTCTTGCAGTCCATGGGACTCTCAAGAGTCTCCTCCTGTGCCAGAATTCAAAAGCATCCATTCTTCGGCGATCAGCCTTCTTTATGGCCCAGCTCTCACTTCCATACATCACTCCTGGGAAAACCATAGCTTGAACTATACGGACCTTTGTCGGCAAGGTGATGTCACTGCTTTTTAAGATGCTGTCTATGTTTGTCATTGCTTTCCTCCCAAGAAGCAGGCGTCTTTTAATTTCGTGACTGCTGTCACCATCTGCAGTGATCATGGAGCCCAAGAAAGTAAATCTCTCACTGCCTCCATTTCTTCCCCTTCTATTTGCCAGGAGGTGATGGGCCCAGTGGCCATCATCTTCGTTTTTTTGATGTTGAGCTTCAGACCATATTTTGCGCTCTCCTCTTTCACCCTCATTAAAAGGTTCTTTTATTCCTCCTCACTTTCTGCCATCAGGGTTGTGTCATCTGCATATCTGAGGTTGTTGATATTTCTTCCGGCGATCTTGATTCCAGCTTCGGATTCATCCAGCCCAGCCTTTCGCATGATGAATTCTGCATATAAGTTAAATAAGCAGGGAGACAATATACAGCCTTGTCGTACTCCTTTCCCAATTTTTAATTGTAGAACAGGTGGCTTAAAATGTGGGCCGCCTTTCTCAAAATCCCCAAACCTATTTCACAAGTCTCCAAATCTTATCCTTGGTCAAGCGTTTGTTGGTTCCCATTTCCCCGTTGGGTATATATACGTATTTAGCTGACTCTCAGCCATCTTGCCGCTCCTGCCCTGTTGCCTCTTGCCTTGAGCAGGCAGCCATTCGACAGGGGCAGCTGTCCGTGGCAAAGTGAGCTGCACCTGATGGATTTCTGCCTGGCTCTCGGTGCTGTTAAAGCAGGAGAGCTGGAGGGAGCAGGGGAGGCTGGAGACAAGAGGAAGAAGCCCAGCGGCTCCAGGGGCAAGCACGTGCCTTTGCCCCCCTCCCCGCCACTGGCCCCTGAGGACCCATATAAGGCCGGACCTCTGGGGAATCCAGGCAGAAGGGGCCGCGGAAACTCTTCTCCCTGCCAACAGTACATTTCTCCTGCCTCTTGTTTGGGGCTTCTGTGACTTGATGCTTTCCAGAACTTTCCATCCGCACCGATGGAGGCCATGTGTCAGGTCTCGCTGTGTTTGTGACAGGCCTCCCAAGGCATGCTTCTGAATTCCGTGGAAAAAATATATCAGCTGGGGTTGCCAACTTTTTTTCTTGCTCCTGCTCCTCTGCCTTTAACTGCAGCCATGCACATCAATTGCGAGTGGTTTTTTTTAGGGGGAAGTTAAAATTTTCCAGCAAAGGTATGCTTCTTCAATAGACAGGGGAGAGCATCACTTGCCCCCCCCCCATTTTTGGCATGTTAGGATGCAGAGGAGCAAGGCTAGTTTTTTAAATAAAAAAGTGGCAACCCTGATGGCTGTCGGGTCAAAAAGTTGGAGTCCACAAATTGAGAGCAAGTTCTTAAGGAACGTGCCCTTATCTGAGTCCCCTGCTCTCCAGTTACAGAACCCATTTCCGAGTGATATCAGGCAGTCCTCATCTCTGGTGTCTGTGAAATGGGCCTTAAGAACTCATTTATTTATGCATTTGGGGGGCAGTTTTGTCATAAAAGCAATACAGAAAGCTTTTTAATAAATAGACATTGCAGTATAACATTGCAGTCCTCGGACTGTCAACTTCTCTCTTTTAAAACTGAGCACAGAGAAGAATAGGGTTCTGTTCATATTTGCATAATGGAGAAATGCAATTTGCTTAATGCCATCGGAACAGCTCCTTCCTCTTCCTTGGGTAGTGTTTTCTTCAGATGGGAGTGGGGTGTTTTCTACCTGCTTTTTACCAGCTACTATTCTAAATTTGACTGTATTGAAAGAAGTTTGGGGCTGGGATATTGTGTGTGTGTTCGTAAATATTTTTTATTTCATTTTACGATGCGTAAAAATAAAAAGATGAAGAACAAAACTGGAAACTAAGCATGTAGAATGTGTACGCAGGGGTCAAAATAATGAAAATCTAAGTACAGTGGTACCTTGGTTCTCAAACTTTATCCGTTCCGGAAGTTCGCTCCAAAACCAAAACGTTCCAAAACCAAGGTGCACATTCCCATAGAAAGCAATGCAAAATGGATTAATCCCTTCCAGACTTTTAAAAACAACCCCCCCCCAAACAGCAACTTAACATGAATTTTACTATCTAACGAGACCATCGATCCATAAAATGAAAGCAATGGACTGCAGTTACACAGTCAATCAGCAGCTGAACTGGGTTCCACACAGTCACAAAAACAAAAATGAAAGCTGCAATAATGAAAAATATATAGCAAAAACAGATGTCAGCGTAGCACTCAAAACAGAAGCGTAACACTCAAAACGGAGCATGTTCTGCTTCCGAAAAAAGTTCGCAAACTGGAACACTTCCAGGTTTGCAGTGTTTGGGTTCCAAGTTGTTTGAGTACCAAGGCGCTTGAGAACCAAGGTGCCACTGTAAAGAACATTGACGTTATTTGGTAGTTTGTGAAATAAATAAGGGAATTATCGAGTCAAGTTCCAGATGTGCCAGCCGGCGATGAAAGTTGTTTTGAAAATGTCGATTCTGCAATATATGTAGCCAAAGAATGCAGGTCGTCCCTGTTGAAATCTCAATTTATGTGTAATTTTCTCCATTGTATCTCAATTCCGGACTGAGCGCTACCCAGCGCCCAGTGTAAAATTCTGGGCTGTTTTTCCATTGAGCTGCAATTAGCATTCGAGTGACAAAGGAAGTAAAAGGAGGTGGATAACAATTAAGGATTTATTATGTTTTCTGAATGTATTGGAAAATTTATATCGAAAGGTGTATTGTTTTCTGTACATTCAATTCTAAGACAAAACATATGCGAAGGGACTTGACAGGAAGTCAAAACTGAAGAAAAGGTTTTGTAAGATAAAAAAGGGGGGAAATCTTTATTTTCATTTTTATCATTAATTTTGTGTGCGTGTGTGTGTTTTGTATGGAATGTTTGGGAGGAAATAAGGCGGTAAATAACAAAAAACAAACAAAATATTGATGCATGTAATTTTTATTTCTCGTATTTTGTGGTAGTATGGTTGTAATGTTTTTTGTAGCATAAAATCATTCAGTAAAAATTATTTTTTTCAAAAAGAGATGCAATTACAGTGGTACCTCACAAGACGAATGCCTCGCAAGACGGAAAACCCGCTAGACGAAAGAGTTTTCCGTTTTTCGAGGTGCTTCGCCAGACGAATTTCCCTATGGGCTTGCTTTGCAAGAAGAAAGCCCATAGGGAAATCTCCAGGGACCTCTTTTAAAATGCTGGCGGTCGGGAGCAAAGACTTCGCCCACCACTGGCCTTCAGAAGAGGTCCTGGACCTCTTCTGAAGGCCGGCGGGGGGCAAAGGTCTTTGCTCCCCCCCCGCCTGCCTTCCCAGGACAGCGGAGACTTCTCCGCTGTCCCAGGGCGATCTTAAAATGCTGGCGGGCGGCAGCGAAGCCTTCGCTGCCGACCCCCAGCATTTTAAAATCGCCCCGGGACAGCGGAGGCTTCGCTGCCACCCACCAGCATTTTAAAATCGCCCCGGGACAGCGGAGAAGTCTCCGCTGTCCGGGGGCTTTTAAAATGCTGGTGGGCGGCAGCAAAGCCCTCCTGTCCCCGGAGCTTGCGGGGCGGGAGGTGGGGAGAAGGGCTTTTCTTCCCACCGCCAGCCTTCAGAACAGCCTTCTGAAGGCTGGCAGTGGGAAGAAAAGCCCTTGTCCCCCCCCCCCCCCAGCCTTCAGAAGAGGTCGGGGGACAGACTGTCCCCGGACCTGGTCTGAAGGCGGTTTCCATAGGAACGCATTGATTGATTTTCAATGCATTCCTATGGGAAACCGTGCTTCGCAAGACAAAAAACTCGCAAGAAGAAAAAACTCGCGGAACGAAGTAATTTCGTCTTGCGAGGTACCACTGTAGCTATCCTAGGTGCCAAGATCATATAGAAGCCCAGTTCTTTTGACGATGCATCTTACACTGGTACCCTCAAAGCGTGTGTGTCTGTGTTGCCCCACGCTTTTCCTGGTGGGGGTCTTTGTGCCCTGGCTTAGCCTCACTCTCTCCTTCCTCTGCCCCCCATTCTCTGTTTCCCCCACCTTCCCAAACCCAGTGAGTCCGTCGTCTGCACCACCCGAGCCACTGTGATGCTGTATGATGATGCCAACAAGAAATGGGTGCCCGCGGGGAGCGGCCCCCAGGCCTTCAGCCGCATCCAAATCTACCACAGCCCTGTCAACAACACGTTCAGGGTCGTGGGGAGAAAGATGCAGCCAGACCAACAGGTAAGGACCCCCCCCCCCAGCATCCCTCCTGTGATGTTTAAGCAGGCTTCCTCAACCTCGGTCCTCCAGATGCTTTGAGACTACAGTTCCCATCATACCTGACCACTGGTCCTGCTAGCTAGGGATCATGGGAGTTGTAGGCCAAAAACACCTGAAGGGCTGAGGTTGAGGAAGCCTGTGTTAGAGCATCTCCAGTGTCGCCATAGCAACCCCCCTGGCTCTGGTACCCAAAAGGGCTCTTTCTCTTTATTTTTCCCTCTCCTGGGGTGCATGGGTCTGTGTCCGGGGCTCTCCCCTATTTATTTACGTAATTTCGTAGAATTTATACTTGCCTCAAAGCTGTTTACAAAACTGTAAAATTATAGGCTAATAGATTAGAAGAAAATTAAATTCAGCAGTAAACTAAAAACCAGATGGACGCACGTGTCAATGTTCCCAACCTCTCCAGGTACAAATAAATGTTTTTAGCGTGCACCGAAAAGGGTGCTGTGAAGTCGCCTGCCTGCTGTCAACAGGCAGGGAGTTCCAATAGTGCCACACTAAAATACCGACTTCCAACCCCCTGCAAAGAGGAGAGGGAGGGGAAGGATTTGGGGGGGAGCTGGCTAGGTCACTTCATCGTTCGCATCCCCTTTTGCACTTTGTTAAACCACTGCATGTTTTCAAGGAGTCCTTGGCCTTCCGACAACTCCCCGCGAATCTGAGTTTGCTGCCATGCCCATTTTACAGATGGAGCAAACTGAGGCTGCTGTCAACAGGCAGGGAGTTCCAACAGTGCCACACTAAAATATCGATTTCTTACAAATGCGGAATGGAGATGGTGGCTCAGACTTTCCCATCCTCTTATTTTGACCCGCTGAATATCTTGCCGTTACAAAATGACGGAAGCGAAGGAGCAGCAGAGCCTCGCTTGGCTCTCAGGTCGCGTCAAAGGGGTCAGGTCTTGGCGCCGGAAAGGGGTCGGGTTTGGCGCCAGGGGAGGGTCCAAAATGCTTGTGCACCCTGCCTGGGGCTGATGGGTGTTGTAGGCAGCTGGAGGGCACCAAAGTTGGCAAAATCCCTCTTGGCTCAGCTTTTTTTTTATCCCCCCCCCTCTCCCAAAGGTGGTCATCAACAGCCCCATCGTGAAAGGGCTAAAATACAACCAGGCTACGCCCAACTTTCACCAGTGGCGAGATGCCCGCCAAGTCTGGGGGCTCAACTTTGGCACCAAAGAGGACGCTAGCCAGTTTGCTGGTGGGATGATGGCTGCTCTGGAGGCACTGGATTCAGGTGAGGGGGAGATGGAAGAAGCGGGGCATCTTGCTGGGGGTCCTGGAAAGGTTTTCCATCTTGCCGGGGATTGTTGTTGTTGTTTAGTCGTGTCCGCCTCTTCGTGACCCCCTGGACCAGAGCACACCAGGCACTCCTGTCTTCCACTGCCTCCCACAGTTTGGTCAAACTCATGTTTGTAGCTTTGAGAACACTGTCCCACCATCTCGTCCTCTGTCGTCCCCTTCTCCTTGGGCCCTCCATCTTTCCCAACATCAGGGTCTTTTCCAAGGAGTCTTCTCTTCTCGTGAGGTGGCCAAAGTCTTGGAGCCTCAGCTTCAGGATCTGTCCTTCCAGTGAGCACTCAGGGCTGATTTCCTTCCGAATGGAGAGGTTGGATCTTCTTGCAGTCAATGGGACTCTCAAGAGTCTCCTCTAGCACCAGAATTCAAAAGCATCCATTATTCGGCGATCAGCCTTCTTTGTGGTCCACCTCTCACTTCCATACATCACTACTGGGAAAACTATAGCATTAACTATACGGACCTTTGTTGGCAAGGTGATGTCTCTACTTTTTAAGATGCTGTCTAGGTTTGTCATTGTCTTGCAGGCATACTCAGCCTTAAACTTGCAAGGGAGAAGGGCGAGACCCACCATGGTCTGGTCTGCCAAACTGGCTCTAAATCCTGATTTTTTTCACACCCCGCAGGGAACTCGGCAGCTCCACGGCCCATCCAGAACGGCCCCACAGCGGAAGAAATGGCAGAGCAGCAGAAAAGGTACTCGGTGGTCTGCGGAACTCCCTGCTACTGCGTTGTTTTACTGCCCTGAGCAGTGCCTTGCAGGGTCTCAGCCTACTCCAGTTTAGTACCAAGCTAGGTTCACAGGGACTGATGGGTTGGCAGAGGCTGGACCAGCCTGCGTCCTCAGTGCTTGCACCCTCAAAAGAGGCACAAGCCTCAATTCCTTTAAGATCATAGAATGGTAGCGCTGGAGGGGAAAGGGTCATCTAGTCCAACCCCCGGCAAAGAGGTGAGGGAGGGGAAGGATTTTGGGGGGAGCAGGCTAGGTCACTTTTTATGTTTAATAGGATATTGTATTTTAATATTCTGTTGGAAGCCGTCCAGAGTGGCCGTCCAGCCAGATGGACAGGGTATTAATAATAATAATAATAATAATAATAATAATTACTTCATCGTTCACATCTCCTTTTGCACTTTGTTAAACCACTGCATGTTTTCAAGGAGTCCTTGGCTTTCCGACAAATCCCCGCGCATCTGAGGTTGCTGCCGTGCCCATTTTACAGACGGAGCAAACTGAGGCTGCAAAGCCGCTCACCCCTGAGGGCCACCCGATTGAGTCCGTTGGCTGAGGTGGACACTGTAACTGAGCCCCTCTCCCCAAATCCAGTGGGCCTCCCTCTCGCCAGCTTTTCCTTCCCTCGGCCCCCGGTGCGAATAGCGCCTCCCTATTTTGCTCCCATTCATTCTCGGCCAGAATGGAAAGGGCATTCAGAAGCCTCAGTCCCCAACAGTGGCCTCTCCAGGGAGAGACCCCTGGGAGAGACCCCTGCCTCTGCAACCCTGAAGAGCAGCTGCCGGCCCGTGCAGGCAATACTGGGGGTCCAATCCGGTACGCAGGTCAGCAGACAATTGCTGCTAATTCCCCCAGCCCTCCTTCATGCCTCCTTGCGTAGCAGAGGGCGTTCCCAGCTTAGCTGCTAATCGGCTTGAGGGGTCATCGGGGTCACCTGGCTGCCCCGCTCGCTGCCTCCATTCCGGCTGCCTGTTTCCAGCGTGCGCAGAGCACCCCGTTCCTGGGGGGCCACCCCCCACCTGCCCCAGCTCCTGGCCATGTGTGGCTTTGCAGTGTCCGGGATTTTGCCAGAGCCTCCGCAGAAGTGAGTGGCAGCAATTGGGGAGGGGGCTGAACGCAGGGGAGGGTGGAGGACCCTGCCCAGACGGGCCTCATCCTGCCCAGCCGCCTCTCCTGGGCCCTCGGATCTGCAGGGGGGGCCTCATTTTCTCTGTTCTCCCCCCCCCCAACTCCAGGCAGCAGCAGCAGCTGGAAAGGGAGCAACAGGAGCAGGCCGAGCGAGAGAGGCGGGTGACAATCTCAGGTGGGTCCCTGGGGTGGGGTGGGGGGGTGACGAGCAGTGGGTGACCCCCAACCCTCCCTCCCTCTCCCAGGTGAGTGTGGGGTGCAAAACCCCTTTTCTGTTTCAGGACCTTGGCTGGTAATGGCTCTGGGGAGAGACTTGGAAATGGGCCTGGAGGGTTATGGGGTTTTTGCAGGGTGGGGGGTGCCCTCGACAAAGCCTCCCCCCCCATAAGTGGGGTGACTTCGCTCCCAAAAGGGAAATCTGTGGGTGGGAGGAGGCCGGCCGGCCTCTGAGCGCCTGAAGAATAAACAATTGGTTTAGTGTGGATTAACGCGCCCAGGCTAAGGATTGGGGGGGGGGGAGAGAGAATGGGATGGAGGGCGTTCTGCTAAATGCTTAAAGCAGTATGGCCCCCCAAGCATCCTGGGAACTGTAGTTTGTGGTGGGTGCTGGGGGTTGTCAGGAGAGCTCTGTATTCCCCTCCCAGAGGTACAATTGTCAGAGTGGTTTTAACAGACACCCCCTCTTCCCAGGGGGTCTCTGGGAATTGTCGCTCTGTGTGGGGAAGAGGGAGCTTTGGGAATTGTATTTAAACTGGACTCCTTCGCCGATTGGGGGGGGGGGCCAAAAGGTGCCCGCCGAGTCCCACGGTCACAGGCTTCACCCGCCTGTGGTTTTTGAAGGGTCCCCGCTGCGCCGTAGCGGTAAAGACCCAATTTCCGCATAGCCTGTCCCCTCCAAGTTAGAGGGAATCAGCCATTGCCGATGGCGCCACCCCGGAAGCTCGGGAGCTTTGGGAATTGTATTTCTAGGAGTGGAAGAGGGAATTCTGGGAGTTGTAGTTCTGGGAGGGGGAAGGAGGAGTTCTGGGAGTTGTAGTTCTAAGAGAGGTAGAGGGAGTTCTGGGGGGGAGGAGGAGGTCTGGGAATTGTAGTTCTAGGAGGGGAAGAGGGAGTTCTGACAGTTGTAGTTCTGGGAGGGGGAAGGAGTTCTGGGAATTGTAGTTCTAGGAGTGGAAGAGGGAGTTCTGGGAGTTGTAGTTCTGGGAGGGGGAAGGAGGAGTTCTGGGAGTTGTAGTTCTGGGAGGGGAAGAGGGAGTTCTGGGAGGGGAAGGAGGACTTCTGGGAATTGTAGTTCTAGGAGGGGAAGAGGGAGTTCTGGAGTGTAGTTCTAGGAGGGGAAGAGGGAGTTCTGGGAGTTGTAGTTCTAGGAGGGGAAGAGGGAGTTCTGGGAGTTGTAGTTCTGGGGAGTGTAAAAGAGAGTTCTGGGAGGGGAAGGATGAGGTCTGGGAATTGTAGTTTTAGGAGGGGAAGAGGGAGTTCTGACAGTTGTAGTTCTGTGAGGGGGAAGGAGTTCTGGGAATTGTAGTTCTAGGAGTGGAAGAGGGAGTTCTGGGTGTTGTAGTTCTGGAGGGGAAGGAGGAGTTCTGAGAATTGTAGTTCTAGGAGTAGAAGAGGGAGTTCTGGGAGTTGTAATTCTGGGAAGGGGAAGGAGGAGTTCTGGGAGTTGTAGTTCTAGGAGGGGAAGAGGGAGTTCTGGGAGTTGTAGTTCTAGCAGGGGGAAGGGAGCTCTGGGAATCATGGCTATGGGAGGGGAAATAGCACCCTTAACAAACTACATCTCCCAGTATCCTTTGGGGGAAGCCAAGGCTGTTTAAAGAGGTATCGTAGTGCTTTTAAATGTGACGTGCGGATGCGACCTAAGAAAATATCTTGGGCTGGGCGCACAGGTGTTCGGTGCTTGTGGGGTGGCTGTGATGAGGTGCCTCCCTCTGCCCCTCTCTGGATGCAAACCCACATTCTGCAGAACTGTGTAGCATTGGAAAGGGACCCCGTGGGGTCATCCAGCTCAACCCCCTGCCGTGCCGGAGCCACAACCGAAACCTCTCTTGTTGCAGTGCCTGCAGGGACCCCTTCGGGAGGAGGACCCCCGCCCGCACCAGGACCCCCGCCCGCCCCGCCATGCCCGCCCCCGGGCCCACCGCCAGGAGCACCAGCGGGGCCACCCCCACCTCCGGGGCCTCCGCCACCGCCCGGCCCCCGCCTGGCCCCCCTGGCCCTCCGCCTCCGGGAGGGGGGCCGCCCCCTGCGCCGCCCCTCCCGCCTCCCCAGGGCCCGGCAGGAGGGGGCGGCCCGCCCTCCGGCTTGGCTGCTGCCCTCGCAGGGGCAAAGCTCAAGAAAGTGGGCAGGGTGAGTACAGGGAACTCCGCGGGGGGCGGGAACGGTAGTTCAGGCGCCCAGTTTTCCCCAAGGCTGTAGATGGGAGTTGTAGTTGGGCACCCTCTTGGCGCCTTAACCCTTAACCCTGTTCTTCTTCCTCAGGAGGAGGCACCAAAGGCTGCGGCTGGTGCGGCACCCCCGCCGAGTGGAGGGGGAGGCGGGGGGCTCATGGAGGAAATGAGCGCCATGTTGGCACGGCGGTGAGTGCAGAGGAACTTCACGGGGTCGGTGGATGGCAGCGAAGGGGCCTGGCTCAGTGGCGCAGAGTACCAGTCTTCCTATTCAAATCCAGGACAAATCTTGAGGACTAGGATCTTAGCTCCCTATTTGTCAAGGAAAAGATCCTGGCTCTGTGGTGGATCGTGCAAAAGGGCCCAGGGTCAGACCCTGGCAGCACTTCCGGGTAGGGCTGAGGACCCAGGCGAGACAAAGCCCCTTTCTGGGCTCAGGCAAGGCCTGTTTTTCTCCCAATAGTCATAGGAGAAGCTAGCCAAACTCCTGATTTTTCTCCGTCTTTCGCCCTGCTTGGAACAGGGTGGCCCACAAGTGTAGTAATTTCATAAGCAGGAATGCTTTTGGCTGAAAAGTGCACAGAGAAGGAGTCTGCCTGGTGTCAAGTGGCAGGGTGTTCCAGAGTCAAGCCGCCACACTAAAAGCTTGATTTATTACAAACGCAGAAGGGGTGTTCTGTGACAGGGCTGCTTCCATAGATCGATGAGAGGGCATCTAGGGAGTGAGGGGATCTTGAACAACCCGTTTCTCTCTCTCTCTCCCCCCACCCTAAACCCCATCTCCCCAGGAGGAAAGTTGCGGATCAGGGTGAGAAACCCATTCCAAAGAAAGATGAAGGTCCCGTAAGTACCCGGCTCCCCTTCCAGTATGAGAACCAGAAGTTTAGATATCTGGGTTTCATTCATTTCCCCCTTGCAAAATTCATTCATTTATTATTGCAATGCAGTTTCCCCAACGCTGGATTGAAAAGAAAAACACACCTCGAATTGATATATGAAAGACAAATAAAATCGAGGAAAAAACCCACCAAATATGGAACAGATTAAAAAATACCTTTCTACGTGTCTGCACATGCTTGTCTGAACAAGGATGTTTTCAGCTGGTGCCAAAATAAGGTGCCTGCTCCATCTCATGAGGCAGGGAGTTCCAAAGGGCAAACCATCGAGTTCTTGCAAATGCAGAAAAGAGGCATTATTGGCACCTGTGTAGTAGGGCCAGTTTATATGGCACCTTTTTCTGCAAGGTGGCAAACATTGCCCTCCCCTTCCCCAGTTCACTTCCTACAACGACAACCCTGGGAGGCGGGTTGGGCTAAGAGGCAGCGACTGGCGTCCCTCTCTGGTTTTTGCTTTGCAGAGCAGGAGGGTCCCCCTGGGTGTGTGACTGAGGCTGGTGGCGTCTCGTGTCTCATTTGCCATCTCTGTTTCTTCTCCCCCAGCAAAACGACATGGACGCTGGTGCCAAGACCACAGGTAGGCAGTGGGGCCCAGAAGGCGGGCGATAGACTAGAGTGGGCACAAGGCCCTCCGGCCAGTGGAAGACCCGCCTTGTGGCTTGCCATGGCTACTGGGCATGGTGACAGTGCTCAAATCCTGCACGCGGCATTCCCTTTGAGGAATCTGACTGGCCCCAGGGAGAAGAGGACACTGGAGTGGATTTATTACGTGCAGGTTAAACCGCAGAGCCTAGGACTTGCCGATCAGAAGGTCGGCGGTTCGAAGCTTTAGCTATTGGCTGCAAAAAGAACTTAATTTGCTGATACAAACCCTTTTGCATCTGACAATAAGTGGGTGCGATGACCGTTAAGAATTAACGCTCTGTATAATTCAACACAAGGGACGCGGGTGGCACTGTGGTCTAAACCACAGAGTCTAGGGCTTGCCGATCAGGTCGGCGGTTCGAATCCCCGCGACGGGGTGAGCTCCGTTGCTCGGTCCCTGCTCCTGCCCACCTAGCAGTTCGAAAGCACGTCAAAGTGCAAGTAGATAAATAGGTACTGCTCCGGCGGGAAGGCAAACGGCGTTTCTGTGCGCTGCTCTGGTTCGCCAGAAGCGGCTTAGTCATGCTGGCCACATGACCCGGAAGCTGTACGCCGGCTCCCTCGGCCAGTAAAGCGAGATGAGCGCCGCAACCCCAGAGTCGGCCACGACTGGACCTAATGGTCAGGGGTCCCTTTACCTTTTATAGGTGCTGGAAGCTGGGAAACCCAGCCAGATGTGCAGGGTATAAATAGTTAAAATGATCATTATGAATCCAGAAGCTGGGCTTTTCTTATGGAGCTTCCAGGTCCAGGAGCAGTCTATCTGGACTCCTGCGTTCTTGGGGGCAGTTGGCCAAGTGAGAACAAGGCACTTGGCCTGATCCAGCAGCCGGTCTCTTTAGAGATACGCGAGGGCCATTTGCTCTAGAGTTCCCAGGCGCCTGGGGAACGCTAAATGGGGGCTTCAACAGGAAGTCAAGAATGTCCAGGGGGTCTGCCCCTCTGCCACCCACAGCCCCCTACCCACCCTCTCCCTCCTTGCTTTGTCCTAGATTCCTTCCGCAGGCCTTGGGAGAAGACCAGCACGACGCTACCCAGGTAAGTGACACCTGTCCATCATGGTCTTTTTGAGTTTTTCTGAAATCTGCCCCCCTTTTTCTCCTGGCACCAAGTTTCCACAAAGCCAGTGGAATTGGTGTGTTTGCGCGCAGTGTTCCTCTCCCTCCTTGACCCACAAAGTGGGGGGCAGGCGGTGGGGGGGTGGCTGTCTTGTTTGCCCCCCACCCAAGCTGTGTCTCAGTCTTTCTCTTCTCTGCGCCCCCCCCCCAACGCTCAGGACAACTGTGACCCAGAGAAGCACCACGCCCTCAGCTGCTGCCCGTCCACAGTTCGGCCAGTCTAGGTATCAGGCAGGGAGGGCTGGAATAATAATAATAATAATAATAATAATAATAATAATAATATTAATACAACTTTTATTTATACCCTGCTCTTCCCGGTTCAAAAACCGGGCTCAGGGCGGCTAACAACAAATTTAAAGCACTTAATTGTAAAAGCAACGTAAAATACAGTATAAAAACATAAATAACAATAAAATTCAAAAATCAATTAGATAATCCCCAGGGCTAGCTGGCTGAATTGGTCCTACTTGGGCCAGCGAGGAGGCCAGGGGAGAATTAGCTGTGGGGTCTCAGAGCGGGTGATCTTCATAAAAGGGGAAGGGAAGGGAAATTAAAGATCAGGCTGAATTCAAATTAAAGGCCAGGCGGAATAGCTCTGTCTTACAGGCCCGACGTAAGGAGGTTAAATCCTGCAGGGCCCTGGTCTCGGGGGACAGAGCATTCCACCAGGTCGGAGCCACCACTGAGAAGGCCCTGGCCCTGGTGGAGGATAGACTTATATCTGCTAAGTACCCCCGTATAACCATAGGAGGGCACCCCAGGGCTCATCAAGCCCAACCCACCGCGAAGGAGGAATCGCGGCCGACTTCAAACGTACCTGGAGCCTTCCGTGAGCAGAGGGTGCCCGCTTAACTCCCGGTGCTGGGTTTCTTTTAAGACCGGGCTGGGTGGAGAGGTATCTGTGCCCCCACCAGGCGCTGCTGAACTACAACTCCCATCCTTCTCCGTGGCTGGGCTGAGTTGGCACCCAAACACAGCTTTCTGAGCTGATTCAGGGACTCTGTGGCATCTAATAAAAGCACGGGGGGCGTTTCTGTTGCCAACGAAAAAGAGAAAATTTTCTGTGGAAGCAAGACATGCAAGGCAGGACGAGAGGCAATCAAACCTGCCCCCCAGTGTCCCCCCCCATAGGCCAATACTTCCTGTATGAGGGCTATGTAGGCTGCCTCCCGCCCAGCCCTGTTCCCGAGCAGTGTGGTACAGTGGTTAGAGCATCGGACCGGCACCTAGGAGAGACCTGGGTTTGAATCCCCCACTCGGCCACAAAGCTCACTGTCGCTGCATCTCTCCGTTGCTGTTTGTGGGGGAGAATTAAATGAGGGAGGGGGAGAACCTGGAGCGCCACCTTGGAAATAAAAGTGGGATAGAAACGCAATAAAATAATCACAATATGATTATCGGTTATTGGCTTCGTTATTGGTGCTCCTTCGGGACCAAACGAGATCGGTGTTGATTTTTACAACGAACGCACCTGCTATTTTAACGAAATAGCAGCCCCGGGGAGGGAGGTGGTTTTCCTGCAGGGAAACCCTCCCCCCCCCCTTCCGAAGCAGCTGTTTGCATTTCGTGGAAAACTCAATGGCAGCTGCCTGTTTGGCGGGTCTGATGCTGCACAGCTTCGCCTGCCCCCCCTGAAACCCTTCCTTTACTTTCTCGCCAACCCCAGGATGAAATCCGCCGGAGCGATCACCGGTTCGGAACCTGCTGGTGGCGGCGGAGGAGGAGGAGACGAGTCGGAGCTGGAACGGGTGAAACAGGTAAACCTGCCTTTTTGGGTCCAAGCTAACGTCACCTAGAACCAGAGAAGGGGACACCCTAGGGTCATCTAGTCCAACCCCTTGCAATGCAGGAATCTCAGCTAATGATTATTATTTTAATTTAATTTAATTAAAGATTTTCTTGGTTTACAAAAGTATGTGCAATGTCTCTCTCTCCCTCTTTTTTTCCAAGTAACATTTTTTACAGATCAGCTAATGATCACCTAATGATTATTTCAAAGATACTCTTCCTTTTTAGGCTGGTTGGGGGCTTCTGTTCTGTTCTTTCCCTGGTGCCAGAGTTGTAGGGGGGGGGTCCTGTCTTCTCCCTCTTCCCTCTGGGCCCTAAATGCATGTATTTCCAACCCCCACCCTAGGAACTCTTGCAGGAGGTCCGGCGGGAATTACAGAAAATGAAAGAGGAGATCATACAGGGTAAGTAATGAAGGCTTTGGGTTGTTTTTTTTTAAAAAAGTGGTGTATAAATTTTAGAAAATAAATTATATATACACCGTATTTTTCGCTCCATAAGACGCACTTTTTTCTTCCTAAAAAGTAAGGGGAAATGTTTGTGCGTCTTATGGAGCGAAAAATACGGTGTATATATAATTTATTTTCTAAAATTTATAGTGTGTCCCTGGAGCCGAATTGCCCAGGGGCGAAAAGCAAATCATGCTTTTTCTTTTTTTGGAAGAGGGAAGGGGGTGTTGAAACAAAGCCACTGATCGCAAGCGATTGGGAGGGAGATAAGGGACGCTAGCAATAAAGGAGGCTGCCTGGGAGGGGGGAGGTAAAGACAGCGAACTTGTAAGGAGAGGAGACAGCAAGACTAAAGCAACGAGGAGAGAAATTAGAAGAAAAGGAGGAGCAAAGAACTGCTCCAGCTAAGGAAAAGACACTAAAGCAAACAAGAGGGAAGGGGGTGTTGAAAGGAAACAGCTGATCTGTAAGCGATCGGGATGGAGATAAGGGATGCTAGCGATAAAGGAGGCTGCCTGGGAGAGGGGAGGTAAAAGCCCATGGATCCTCAGCATTTTTGCATTGGGTCACCCCAAATTCACCATCCGATCACATAGCATGTCCATGGCTACAGCCTGCACCAAAAAAATCACACACCCACTGTTGATGGGGCCGCAATGGTGCAAAAACCTGGTTACAAAGCATGGATCCACATGGATCCTCAGGATTCTAGCATTGGGCTACCCCAAACTCACCGTCAAATCACATGTCTGTGGCCACAGCATGAACCACAAAAATCATGCATCCACTGTTTCATTCAGAATATTTTTTTTCTTGTTTTCGTCCTCTAAAAAATAGGTGCGTCTTATGGCACGAAAAATACGGTTTGAAGTAGCTTCGGGTTGAGCGTTTTCGGGTTGCACTCTGCAGTGACCAGGAAGTAACGGAGCACGTTACTTCCGGGTTTCACCACTTGCGCATGTGCAAATGCTCAAAATGACGTCACGCGCATGCACGGAAATGGCAAATTGCGACCCGCATATGCGCAGATTCTGCTCTGGATGCGAATGGGGCTCCGGAACGGATTCCGTTCGCATCCAGAGGTACCACTGTATAACCTACAGCTGTCTTCCCCACCCTGGGGCTGTCCAGCTGTGTTGGACTACAACTCCCATGAGCCAGAGTGTCGCATCGACTGTGCCGGCAGGGGCTGATGGGAGTTGTAGTCTGAAGCAGCTATGCAAAGCCCCCCACCCAGGGGTTGGAAAAGCCTGGCTTCTCTAGACAGCGCTGGAACATTTTGGATCCCTGAAAGGGCCCGGCTTCATATTTTCGTTTTCTCTCTCTCTCTTGCCGCAGCATTTGTGACAGAGCTACGGAAGCGGGGGTCTCCTTAGTGCAACCCCCCCACACACAAGAAAGAAAACCCCCCAACTTGCCGGTGTCTCCTGGAGCCAGCAGTTCAATCCTCCGAAACGTGCAGGAAAAAATAAAAGCGGAAGAAGATAAAAAGAACGAACTTGATCACCCCTTTTCTCCCCACGCCCCCCCACAAACGCACCAGATGAGCTCCACACAACACACACACACACCTTTTCCCGTCGGCTCCCAGGCCCCCGCTGTGCAATTTCCGGGGAGGGGGGGGGAAGGAGAATCTGTGGCAGCCCCCCACCCCAGGAAGGGCAGGACCCCCACCTGTGCCTTACCCAGAGCAATAGCAACACCCCTCCTTCGTCCTCTGCTTCCTCCCCACCCCCACCCCCGCCACAACGAGCGGCTTGTTCCTGCAGGAGGTGTGCAAGGGGGGGGGTGTTTCCCTGGCGGAACTGGCTCCTTCCCCCCCCCCTCCCGCCACCACTTAACACTGTGCCATTCCCAGAGAGGGCTAGACTCTCCATCACCCGCAAATCATCCTTTTTCACGCTTGGACCAAGACGCCTGTGTCTGTTTTTTCTTTCTCTCCTCCGCCCCCCCCCCCAAAAAAAAACCCATGGCATGGGAAGAGGGGGGGGAAACACCTGTTTTTCCCGGGCTTCAGGGAATCGCATCAGCTTAACCAAACTGGAGAAGTTTCCTTTTCTTTGAAGGTAGTGGTCAGCAACTGGGTTGCCCCAAAGTCCAAACCTTTGCCCTGCCTTTCCTGAACTTCCTTCCTCTCCTAAACCAGCAACATTTCCCTTTTTAGCTAAGGCAGCAGGTCTCTCGGACCTTCCTTCTTCCAGACACGATGCCAGGGGTTGGGTTTGCGATAAGGGGACCAAGGAATGAAACAAAGGTGGCCTGAACTTTCTCTGTAGTTTGGGGGCACACAGTTATATATTTTTCCCAGCGGAAGGGTGACAAACGGCAGCGTTCCCGCTGCTGGTAATTTGACCCGGGCCAAATTCCGGCCACCTAGTTGCCAACCACAACCTTTTTATTTTTAAAAAAGGCACCCTTACTTGCAATGCACGCCCCCCCCCCTCGCTAGTCATGCATGCCCACCCTTGGAAGATGGACCACTTTGCTGAAAAGGACAGCTTCCACGACCCCCCCTCCCCAAATAATAATAATAATTACCACCCCACTTCCTAGTACCTTTTCTCATTTCACATGCTCTCTCTTGCTGGGCTCATTCTGAAAAAAAATATTTTACTCAACCCCACCCACTCACCCATCTCTCTGCTCTCACCTCTCTGGGTAATGATTTGTTTTTATTTTTAATAATAATAAAAAAAGAGGATTTCGCTCCCCTCTGCCTCCTATCGGGAAGCGCCGAGGGGAAAGCAAGGCAGGGTTCTTGGCTTTTCTACTGAGCTGTAATTTTTTGACTTTTGTTATTTTTTTGTCTAGCTGGATGGAATATTATATTTTGATTTTTTTAATTATTATTATTATTATTATTACTGAACTGCCGGGTATTTCTGCCCACCCTCTGGCCTCACCGCACATGTTCACCTGCAAATCGGCACTAGGGTCTTGGGCACATGCACCAAACTTCTCTAGGAATAAATCTTTTCCTTTTTTGTAAAATTGCAAAAAAAAAAAAGAGGCCTCTGCGTGGTTTTTTTCCTCTCTTACTGGTGGCACTCTCACTGGGCTCAGAGAACTGTATGTGGGATAGCAGAAAGGAAAAACCCCTTCCTGGTGTTTGTTTGCAAATGGATAAGAAATGGGAGGTACCGTATTTTTCGCTCTATACGACACACTTTCCCCCTCCTAAAAAGGGGAAATGTGTGTGCGTCTTATGGAGCAAATGCAGGCTGCACGGCTATCCCAGAAGCCAGAACAGCGAGAGGGATCGCTGCACAGCGATCCCTCTTGCTGGTCTGGCTTCTGGGATTCAGAATATTTTTTTTCTTGTTTTCCTCCTCCAAAAACTAGGGGCGTCTTATTGTCTGGGGCGTCTTACAGAGCGAAAAATACGGTAGTTGATAAGGATTACGGCAGCCTTTCTCAACCTGTGGGTCCCCAGATGTTGTCGAACTACAACTCCCATCACCCCTAGCTAGCAAGGTCAGAGCTCAGGGATGATGGGAGTTGTAGTCCAACAACATTTGGGGACCCACAGATTTAGAACCGCTGGGTTATGGGGTCTCCTCCTGCTTTGAATGCTGAAGCTAGGAACTGGCATTTCGAAACCTAGGCACAGGTGTTAGGAGTTAAAGGTAAAAGGTAAAGGTACCCCTGCCTGTACGGGCCAGTCTTGACAGATTCTAGGGTTGTGCGCCCATCTCACTCTAGAGGCCGGGGGCCAGCGCTGTCCGGAGACACTTCCGGGTCACGTGGCCAGCGTGACATCGCTGCTCTGGCGAGCCAGAGCCGCACACGGAAACGCCGTTTACCTTCCCGCTAGTAAGCGGTCCCTATTTATCTACTTGCACCCGGGAGTGCTTTTGAACTGCTAGGTTGGCAGGCGCTGGGACCGAGCAACGGGAGCGCACCCCGTCGCAGGGATTCGAACCGCCAACCTTTCGATCGGCAAGCCCTAGGCGCTGAGGCTTTTACCCACAGCGCCACCCGCGTCCCGCGTTAGGAGTTACGCAGCATCAAAAAACCCGCAATGCTATTATTCCAGGCTGCATCAACAGAAGTCTAGTGTCCCGATCAAGGGAAGTCATAGTCCCACTCTTTTCTGTTCTGCCTTGGTCAGGCCACACTTGGGGTCCTGTGTCCAGTTCTGGGCTCTAGTTATCTCCCGCTTGGACTACTGCAATGCGCTTTACATGAGGCTACCTTTGAAGGTGACTCAGAAACTGCAATTAATCTGGAATGCGGCAGCTAGACTGGTGACTGGGAGCGGCTGCCGAGACCCCATAACACCGGTCCTGAGAGATCTGCATTGGGTCCCAGTACATTTGCAAGCACAATTCAAAGTGTTGGTTCTGACCTTTAAAGCCCCAAATGGCCTCAAAGGCCCAATATACCTGAAGCAGCGTCTCCACCCCCATCGTTCTACCCGGACACTGAGGTCCAGCACTGAGGGCCTTCTGGCGGTTCCCTCGCTGTGAGAAGTGAGGTTACAGGGAACCAGGCAGAGGGCCTTCTCGGTGGTGGCACCCGCCCTGTGGAACGCCCTCCCTTCAGATGTGAAGGAAATAAACAACTATTTTACTTTTAAAAGACAACTGAAGGCAGCCCTGTTTAGGGAAGTTTTTAATGTGTGACGCTGTATTGTTTTTAATATTCTGTTGGAAGCTGCCCAGAGTGGCTGGGGAAACCCAGCCAGATGCGCAGGGTATAAATAATAAATTATTATATTATCACAATTTAAGGATGTTGACAGGCTGGAAGGTGGGCAGAGGAGGGCGACCGCGTCTTGAAACTTCAGAGGAAGAGTTGAGGGAGTTGGGGATGTTTAGCCAGGAGAGGAAAAGGGTCAAGGGTTCGGAAAGCTAGCCTTGTGAGGAACGGTTGAAGGAGTTGGGTATGTTCAGCATGGAAAAGAGGAGGCTGAGGCCCCTCGAATATTTCAAGGGCTCTGCCATGAAGATGGAGCAAGCTTGTTTTCTCCTGTTCTGGCGGAGGGGACCCGAACCAACAGACCCGGGTTACAAGAAAGGAAGTTCCGGCTAAACGTTGGGAAGAACTTTCTGATGGTAAAAGCTGTCGGACGCCATAGGAAAGTGGTGGACTCTCCTTCCTTGGAGGTTTCTAAGCAGAGGTTGGGTGGCCATCTGCCAGGGATGCTTTAGCTGAGATTCCTGCATTGCAGGGGGTTGGACTAGATGATCCTTGAGTACCCCTTCTGATTCTATGATCAAAAGAGGTTTAAAGACAGTCTCAAGGCAAATTTTTAAGAATGTAGTATAAACAGCAATTTGGAAACACTGGCCTGCGAGCGCTCCAGTTGGAGAACAGCCTTGACCAAAGGTGTCCTGGGTTTTGAAGACACTCGAACTCAGGACGCAAGGGAGAAACGTGCTAAGAGGAAGGCACACTTGGCAAATCCACACCGGGATCAACTCCTGCCCGGAAACCAATGTCCCCACTGTGGAAGGACGTGTGGATCCAGAATTGGCCTCCACAGTCACTTACAGACTCACTGTTAAGACCGTGTTTATGGAAGACAATCTTACTTGGCTACAAGTGATCGCCAAAGAAGAAAGATATAGACCAGCAAGGCTGGAGTAAACAAGGAACTTCAGGCTGGAGAAATGCAATGCTATAGACTGATTCTGAAGAACCAAGATCTACTGCGTGTTCAATTGGCCTTACTGCATTTGTTAAGGATTTCAGCTTTAGGTAGCAGCAGTCCGAAGCATTCAGGCCTCATGAACCTTGGCTATTAACCTCAAATTTAATTTGCGCCCGACCTACACTGGCTGGCAGCATCTCTCTGGGGGTTGCCAGGGAGGTGTTCTCCCAGCCACACCGGCAGGTGCCGTTGGGGATGGAATCTGGAACGTTTGCATGCGAAGCAGACACTCTTCCGGCTGACCCACCTCTCATTTTTAAGGGTGGGAGAATGGACAGATTTGACAAAAAGGACCAGGTCTTCTCAAAAGACAACATTGCCACCTGCTGGCTGTTTGCATTTCCAGTGCTATTTAAGGCTGTCTTACTTTCTGCCACGGTGCACCCCACTTTGGGATCCAAACATGCATTTGTGGGGACCAGTTTCTTAATCTCTCGCCGTGTATTTGCACGGTGGTAGTGCTCCTGTCGTGGCCCGCCGTGGATCAGGCTGCCTGTTGCAAGACCAGTGCCTTGGGTGTCTCCAGCTGCTTTTGGACTACAGTGAGGGGAAAGAAGTATTTGATCCCCTGCAAAATTTGCCCGTTTGCCCTCTGGGATTACAGGTAAGACCTCTCCCTTAAGAAGAAGAAGAAGAAGAAGAAGAAGAAGAAGAAGAAGAAGAAGAAGAAGAAGAAGAAGAAGAAGAAGAAGAAGAAGAAGAAGAGTAGTAGTTTGGATTTGATATCCCGATTTATCATTACCCGAAGGAGTCTCAAAGCGGCTAACAATCTCCTTTCCCTTCCTCCCCCACAACAAACACTCTGTGAGGTGAGTGAGGCTGAGAGACTTCAAAGAAGTGCGACTAGCCCAAGGTCACCCAGCAGCTGCATGTGGGGGAGCAGGGAAGCGAACCCAGTTCACCAGATTACGAGTCCACCGCTCTGAACCACACCACCACACTGGCTTACAGCAGGTGCTTCTAATCTCAGCTCGTTGGTGAAGATACCAGGTAGCCTGACATCTGGCTGGTTGATAGGGGATCAAATACTTATTTCACTCATTATAATGCACATCATTATATAATGTATGAAATGTGATGTATGGAAATGATGTATGGAAGTGAGAGCTGGACCATAAAGAAGGCTGATTGCCAAAGAATGGATGCTTTTGAATTCTGGTGCTGGAGGAGACTCTGGAGAGTCCCATGGACTGCAAGAAGATCCAACCTCTCCATTCTGAAGGAAATCAGCCCTGGGTGCTCACTGGAAGGACAGATCCTGAAGCTGAGGCTCCAAGACTTTGGCCACCTCATGGGAAGAGAAGACTCCCTGGAAAAGACCCTGATGTTGGGAAAGATGGAGGGCCCAAGGAGAAGGGGACGACAGAGGACGAGATGGTGGGACAGTGTTCTCGAAGCTACCAGCAGGAGTTTGACCAAACTGCAGGAGGCAGTGGAAGACAGGAGTGCCTGGCGTGCTCTGGTCCAGGGGGTCATGAAGAGGCGGACACGACTCAACGACTAAACAACAAACAACAACAATGCACATCAATCTCTGATTTTTGTCTTTTGGGTTTCTGGGGGTTTTCCTGTTATTCTGTCTCTCACATCTACAATAAACCTACCATTAAAATTAATGGACTGGTCATTAATGAACTTCCTGACAGTAAGAGCTGTTCGACAGTGAACTTCCTGACAGTAAGAGCTGTTTGACAGTGGAATTTGCTGCCAAGGAGTGTGGTGGAGTCTCCTTCTTTGGAGGTCTTTAAGCAGAGGCTTGACAACCATATGTCAGGAGTGCTCTGATGGTGTTTCCTGCTTGGCAGGGGGTTGGACTCGATGGCCCTTGTGGTCTCTTCCAACTCTATGATTCTATGATTCATTTCTTCGTCTAGAGGGCCAACGTGCAAATTTAGCAGGGGATCAAATACTCCCCCCCCCTCACTGTACAATCGTCATCATCCCTGACCACTGGTCCTGCTAGCTAGGGGTGATGGGAGTTGTAGTCCAATAGGAGCTGGAGACCCAAGTTTGGGAAGCCCTGGATCCTGGGATCCTCCCTTTGGAACGCAGC